GTGCGCAAGTTGTCTAGGGTGTAGGTGCGTGGACTGGCCATTTTGTAATGATAAATGTTGGGGGGTGATGGAATATTGAAGCAAGTCACTCTAGGAGGCGATTGCCGTTTCTTTTATCTTGTTCCGTTCCATGTATGTGGTCCTCGTTTTGGTGATGGGTGTAAGCAGCGGAGTATACACGCGTGAAGAAAAGTGGGGCTGCTGCCTTGTCGTGTAAGACGGAATAAACGACGGAATGGTTATGACACGGAGTGATGACAGGCCCTCGCCCAAGGCTATCTTGGCTCTTATCTTTCTATCATTAAGCGAAGTAGCTGTTCATCTCCATTGCGACAACCAGTCGTTCCATTTGGTTCTCTTCTGCAGTGCCTCTTCCTTTGCCGTAACCCTGTTTGCCTGTCAGGCCTCGGCACACACTTAGGAACACCCGGATTTTTCCTCTGAGCTTTGCGTAAAGACCTTTAACACTTTCTTCAGTTTGTTGCGTGCTCGTATTCTGCATCTTCGCGAAGAGAAGAATGTGGTCGAAGATCTCTTCTACAAGCGCCATGATCTTGCGTTGTCGCTTCCGCAGCAAAAGCGCAAACAAGATGCTGTCCAGGCATCTTTCGTGTGAATCGCGCAAGGATGCAACACCTTCCGTGACACGCACTCCGAGCTCGCCGGCTGCGTCTTCCTCATCCAACCTGGTCTCGACTGTCCGAACCAAGGTGTCAAAGTCGTCCCACGGCTCTGCAATGCCGGTCTGGAAGACGTAGTTGGTGAGCGTTATCACGAAGTGATACGCCTCGGTCCTGAAGTAGCGAGCGTTGCTATCTGCATACTCGCGTGGTAGATGCGAGACGACGAACAGCATGCGCAGAAGCCGCAGCAGGAATTTGAAGATGTAGTCGTACTTGTCTAGAGAGGTACTCGTGATCACAAGATTTAGCGGGGCTGGCGCCACGTATTGTAACCGCAGGAAGTCGAGAGCATGTAACGCATCAGGGTCCATAACCTTCTCCTGTTCCGCTTCGGTGAGGTTGCGAATAGCAAAGTTGAGCTGTCCGGGAAGCTCATCGTTATCCCTGTTGTTGAGAAGCGCGGTAGGCGCAGCTACAACCTCATCGCCCTGTGTTGACTGGTAGAGCGTCGAGGAATAGTAGCTCTCGCTGAGAACGCCTCGCAATGCCAATCGAAGCTCAGAACTCGCTGGTGGCCATGACGTTCGGGACCCTAGTTGCAACCCCATATGTACTCCACTACGCATCTTTCCTTTGTGACGCTCGGCACTCTCACGGTCGGGGTCAAATAGGGCGGTTGCCAGTAAGGATGAGAAGACGCCATCACCTAGAAGGTGGTACTGCCGCTGCAAAGACAAGTGAAGTCGCAGTTGATGTGAACGAAAGAACAAGCGGATCGTGGCTGCGTTGACCAGTTTCGCTTGCGCGGTGATGAGTGGGCGAAACGACAGAGTAGATGCTAAAGACATGGGTGGCGAGAACGTGTTGGAGATGGCCTCGCCATCATCATTTGTCCTCTCTAACGTTTTCTCTATGAGAAGCTGCAGCTCGTCTGGTAGCGCTCGAGACGACCAATTCGGTGTGTCATCCATGCGCCGGATAGAGTCTTCAAAGTATCGATCCAGGTCTTGAGGGTTAGTCGGGACCTCAGTCGCAAACTCTGGTGCTGATTGAGTATATAGAGCTCCTGTCTCGTCATGTGATCCTGTGCTGAAAGCGAGCAATGCTTGTCGGAGCCTCTCTTCGTACGCTTTTGCCTTTGACGCTAATATCTCGATATCTTGCCATTGAAAGCCCCAGTCCATGTCCGGAGGCTGAACTGCTAACCCATCAAGGCGAGCCAGGGGATGATAGGGATGCTGTAACTTCAAGAAGCGAAGACTGTGACCTGTCTCGAATATCGTGTTGCCGTCTTCTGGGGAAATGAACCTTGGCATCATTTCGGACCTGTACGTGAAGTCCAGTGTGAGGGTATCGCCAGTGGTGTCTTCAACAGTCACAAAGCTGTTGCGTTGCCAAATAGGCGCAGACACTTGCTCTTTCCTTATTCCCATCCATTCACCGAGAAGCTCCAAGCTTGGTCTGGACACCTGACTGAGCACCTGGCATGATAGCTGTCGAAGCTGTTCATCCCCCTCTTCCAGTTCAAGCAGGCGGTGGTGTAATATGGACGACAGTTGCTCGTTGGTTTTGGCGTGCTTGACAGCATCTGCCATACGGGCAACGTGGACAAGAATATTGCGAGGCTTGGCGAACTGGTGCTGGAGCTGAATGAGCGAGCGGATCTTGGTAGATTGCTTTCCCAGGGTGTCTTCCAGGCTTGAAAGGACACTCGATATCGATGTGGCCAGAGCGACTCTTGCGGGGATCGATGCGGCCGAGGCAAAGGTGCGCTCTGCGAAAGAGCGTAGATAGAGGAATGTGTTGCCGATGAATGTAAAGTGCACAATCAAGCTCTGCGCTGCTTGTAGGCTCAGTCCCGAAGCTCGTCCATCCGGTATGGCGGGCTGGAACGTCTTCAGCTTCGGGTTGAACTGGAAGAGTATAGAGGACCGGCCTAGACCAAGGTTCCAGAGCGATTGTAACAGCACATCTCCTTTCAGTATCCGACCAGCGTTCTTGCCCTCGTCTCGGACCAGCGTCGCATCGAAGGTCTCGGGACCATGCTCGGTTATATATGGCGTTTGGCTTTCGACGTGCCTTCCCTTTTCGAACGACTCCCAGGTATAGAACAGGACATCCTTATTCGCAGGTCCCAGGTCAAGGGCTATCTTCCAGACGTCTTCTTCGGGCTCTAAGGGCGGTGTCTCGATAGGAATGCTGTCGTCGTCGAAGCTGTCGAGCTCGGGTAGGGGTCCGAATTCGAACGTGTCCAGATCAGGCAGTCGCAATTCGCGTTCGAGGTCATGTTTGGGCGCGTAAGGATGGTCGAATCTGATTGAAGAGACTGTGGCTGGTCAGCAACGCGTTCACATGCTCGGATGAAAAGACGCGACGACCCACTGTCTAGCTCGAGGGGAGCAAAGAGCGACGACTCTTGAGAATCATCGTCAAAAAAGGAAGGCTGCCTCCACAGATGCTCGGTACTGAAGACGTCGTGAATCGAATCACGCGCATCCATGGCGGCGGATGTGGAGTAGTCGAGGGTGAGGGAGGGGTATGACGCGCCATGGTTTTGGCGACTCAGCCCTACGCGGACCCTTGCGCCTTCCGTCACTGTACCTGCAGCTCGCGACTGCGCGTTTCCTTCACTCACTTCCCTTCACTCCCACCCCCAAACATCCACAACATGCCGCCCCGAAAGAAGGCAAAGGCGAGTGCAGCTTCAACGCCCCTGCGCGACACTCAGCCCCAAACACCGCAAGATTCTGGCGTCGTGCAGTCGCAAGATGAGCTGCTCAGCGATCCCTGGGCCGACGAGCAGGAGACACAGCTATTGAAAAGCATGATGAAGTGGAAGCCTACCGGTACGACATAGTGAACTCTATTATCAGACACGTGATTGACATACTCAGGTATGCACAAGCACTTCCGCATGATTTCCATCCACACCGACATGCGCTCGCATGGCTTCGCGAGTGACGACGCTCCTCACACGCGCATTCCCGGTGTCTGGAAGAAGCTGTCGCAGCTATACGACCTGGACGCCCTCGATACGCGCGAGAACGAGTTCGCTTTCTCCGAAGACCCCGACCCGCTAGACCCCGACGACGCCAACAACATGCCCGAGTTCGAGCTGCCAGAAGACGAGTATGGCAAGCTCATGTGGCTCCAGCGCTTCCATCGTGAATCTTCTGCCGCCGGCTCGTCGCCACCCATGACGCCCATCCAAAAATACAAAGATCTTTACGCGCCAGGCATCGGCCTACTGAAAGACCTCCCCGATGGCGTGCACTCGCAAAAGGCTGAGAGTGTAACCGAAGCCACTCCCGTACCCAAGAACGCAAAGAACACAAGGACAGGCAAGGCTGTAAAGAGCGGCAAGGGTACCAAGGCTGGAGCAAATGCTGCAAAGAACAGTAAGGCTCAGAGCACCGTATCTGAATCCGCAGAAGAAGAGGACGAAGATGATGACGATGAAGAATCTAGTGCCGAGTCTGAAGAAGACAGTGCGCCAACTACTCGCCGAACGAATCGCGCGAAACCAAAGCCAGCGCCTAAGAAAACGAGAAGAAGGTAGATGACCAGAATTTGGGCTTGGGCAAGGCGTTTGGATTTATTGATACCCGGGTTTCGTGTGTTCTGTCGCGATAACATTGCAGTATGCGGGGCCGGAGCGTTTGATCGTCCTCGAATGTACACATCACATGTCATTGGTACCACCTCGGGCGATTGATCGGTCGAGTTTCACAGCATTGGGCGGTTGCATATTCACATCAGTACCTTGTCCACAGGCGCCACACTCTCCGTGATGTATGCATCGTTTGCATCGTCACAGGTAGCAGTCTGACGAACGCGCAAATCTTTGCTATAAAACTGTGCGCTCTTCCTCTCCTGGTCCTCTCAATCAATAGAACAGGTTTCTACTACGGCCGACCATGGAGAAATTACCACAAGAAATACTCGACGATGTGTTCGCACATCTCACCCATACAGAATCGGCGCCCCTTATCGAGCGATTTGACGGACTTTGCAAGCTCTCCGTCCGCACAGTACTCAATTGTCGGCTCGTCGCGCGTCGCTGGTTCGAATCGGATGTTTTGATACGCGATTTTGTCGATATAGTTTCCCGGACACCTCTCGTGTGGTACAACCATCGACTCCCAGTACTTGAAGAGATCACTGAAATTCCAAAATACACTCGTTGGTTTAATCAGACAATCACAATCTGTGGCATGGACATGGGCCTCGTTACCCTCGGAGAGTACGACCGCTCGGGTCCTGGGCGTGACGAGCTCGACAAGCAGAATCCAGTGACGCAGTACCTAGTACATCTGTTGCGCAAGATTAGTTCGATGGAGCACTTTCGATACTACCCCATACACCCAAATTGCCTCGATGGAACCTGGCCTAAGTGGAAAGTATCGGAACAGGACCGCGTCTCATTTGAGACTTGCTTCCAAGGAGGACCAGAACGCGCCAGGTACGGATATCCAGCACTGAAAGAAGGCGAATACTCTTGGTGGGGCGTTCAATTGGAGAGCGGATGGATCTTCCCCAAGATAATGGAGGCTTTTCAGGCGTCCCAACTCTGGTTGAAAAGTGTCGAGAGTCCATTACTCGGCAACAAGGCATCGTATTGCGCAATCTCAGGAAGGCGCGATCCTTTTCACAGCAACTTTTTTCGGAACAGCGATCCATTCCAGTGGTTCCCGAAAACGCTGACGCGCGTCGCTATCAATATCACCCGTCCCATGGCTGCGCCATTGCTGAATTTAGGTGGCCTTGAAGAGCTGGTAAATCTAGAATACTTGGAGATAACACTCTCGAAGACTCCTGAGTCATCGATCGGTGACGGCGGACCGTTTGGTGCACCCTTTGAGTTAAGCTCATGGTCCTCAGACCTATGGTATGAACTCGAAAACCTGAAAGAGTTTCGATTGATGTCGGACTACCAGTCCTCGTTCAGTGAATTCGATATCCTAAACCTCCTCAACTTCTTTCCGAACCTCGAGCGCCTTGCATTTGGACATATTCTTCTCACGAGCAGTCATGGGAATTGGTGTGATCTGCTACAGAAGCTAGCGGACCTCAACCTGAAGGAGCTATGGTTGCTAGATCCTTGTCACATCGTCTATGTCGGTCCCCAACACCACCACCAGCCTCATGTGGACAACGATCCTGATCTCGCGATCGAAGGAACCCACAATACAGACTACCACGTGGTCAAGTACGTGTCAGACGAGCACGTGTTGGACGCAGCAGAGGATGTGTGCGTGATCGACACAGGAATGGAATGGCCCGCCGAGGGTTGTGCATATCCACGGTTGAGTAGAGATTTCCAGTATCGCGGCTTTATCTTCTTCGAACAGCTTAGAGATAGCGATCCATCGTGGTGGCATGCTGAGCGTTTCAAGAGGTTCGTTCTCGAGGCGTCGGGAGAACTATCGTCAACAGAAGAGCTCGAGGAGTCGGATTCCTGATACGGACAAGATGGCTTCTGCTGACTTACACCAAACATCGAGATATGTCCTGAATGGTTTCGACATGTTTTTCACGGATTCGTACGTTACAAGGTCGCGACAAAGGGCTTTTCTTTTAGCACTTGCTGCTTGCACGGAGTACCCCAACAGTACGGCAACTATGTAGCCACGCCAACCTAGGTGCAGCATACACAGAGAGAATCTCGGGAGTCGCCTTGGGGTTGTGCATGGTGGTCACGGCTATTGAGTGTACATTGGATACGAATGAACCAATTTAACTGCTAATGCGACTTTTCCATAAGACCTATCTGTCTTTGTAATCGCGAAGACCTAGATGACAGCTCAAAGCTTACCCTTCGGCACAACCCACTCTCCCTTCTCTACCCTCTCACATATCTCCTTGATAGTCTTAGCAGCCCACTCAAAGTCCGCCATTTCCAAGTACACCTGCCCACTCAACCTCGTCCACCAAACACCCGCATACCACTTCATCATAATGAAGGTACCATACTCTTCACTACTCAGCCTCTCCATGAAGTCCCTGATCATGTTGCCGACTTCTTCCTTGTCGATGCCGTTCTTACTCGCGATGTCTTGGGCCAGAGACGGCGATATCGGCAGGCGAACATTAGACAAACAACACTGTCCCAGCGTACCAGTGCTGTTCTCCATGACTTCAGTGCCAAGAACGCTGGCGACGTGTTTTCCGGCTTCACGGGCGAGCGTTTGGCAATAGTCCATGATGACAGTCTCGCCTCCGAGAGTTTCGCGCCACTTCAAGGCCGCGGGCACGCACAAGTAGGGACTATTGTCGATGGTACCCACGAACTCGAAGTTGCTAACGAAGGGCGATTTATTCAGGTCGACGAAAGCCGACTTTGGTAAAGGCGAATCGACCTTTTCGCCCTTTGGTGTGAAGCCGTGGGATGTGGGTAGCGTGCTGCGCATGATGTCTTGGTTTCGGTGGGCGACGTGGAAGATTGCGCAGCCGCGGGGAACGTGGAGCCATCTATGCTAGATGAGTATGCTTGATGTACAATGATGAGAAGAAGGGCTGACTTGTGACAGTTGCTCACGAAGAAATCTGGGTCCAATGCCCCCAAGTCGATGTCCAAGTGGCCCACCCCATGGGCTCCATCGATGCAGCTCATGACACCAAGCTCTTTGCACTTTTGCGTCAAGCGCTCGAATGGCATCCGGACGCCAGGCGCACTAACCACAGTATCGAAGACTGCGATTCGCACTTTCCCACCTTTGCTCTCTACCTCTTTGACCTTCTTTTCGAACTCGGTCAGTAGCCAGTCATCCTCTATGGGATACGTGTACACAATCTTCACACTCTTTGCGGGAGTGGTCTCTGTTATGTATGAGACAGTCTTCTCACAAGCTCCGTATATGGTGCTGAAGATGAGGATGTGCTCGCCAGGTTCGAAGACAATGTTGCGAAGAACAGTGTTGACGCCGGTGCTGGCGTTGGGTACGAACACCAGGGTTGAAGAAGGTGTGTTGAGCAGCTATAGCATCGTCAGTAAGAGCAATTGAAGGCTGCATAGGTAGCTATATGTGTCACAGATCTCCTATACTGATATCACTGTGAGTAACGTACTTTCGCCATGGCTTCCCTAGCTTCATCGAGGATAACAGGGTATTTGTATCTGATGAAGGGGTCTGGACGACCTTCGCATTCGTCCTGGAAATCGCGCATGGTGTCGCGAATAGCACGAGGGATGGTCCCAAAGGAGCCTGATTCCGGTCAGCCTAACGTTTAGAGCACATATCTCGCCAGACATATCTGAGCAAACATGCCCATGAAACTATAGGGTGATGCTGCTGATGTGTGGGAGATAGAAAGACCCATGAACATACCATGATTCAAGTTCAGAAACCCGTTCGAAAAGCAGAACTCCTTCTCCCTTAGCTCCTTTCCAAACTTAACTCCATCTTTCGTCTTGACCTCCAGGGCGGCGTTGCTTGAGCTTGACGTCATGACTCAAACTGTTCGGACAATGTTGTTTGTACCATCAAAAGTTGCATCAGGCACGTATAGTTATATACACATACAAGATGTGACTCAATGTTGTTGTGACTGTTTCCCTGATATCGCTTGGCGAACGAGTCCGTACTGGGCCTCGCAGGGCGCATGTAACAAAGCGTCACCGAGGAGCCATTGACCAATCAGAGTCGCTAGCAGATAGAAGCGGCGGGGATGTGGGGTAAGCACATACGAGGCAGAACATCATGACTGTTGAGTCCCGTGCAGGTCGCGTCCTCTGCATAACTTTCGCCAACAGCGGCTGCGATGTTAAGTATCTCCGTCAGCCGGTACTTGAGGAGGAATTGGATAGCATGCCGCGAGTCATAGTACCAGGCCCAAGGGCGAACAGCTCCGTGCCACGACACCTGATGTTCGAAAGGCAGCATTAGCATGCTGCGTGATGTGCGACCTACATCTCGAGATACAATATACATGCGTGCAAGTAGCCTCTTCGGAGATAGAGCGCTGCTCCTCGGCCATATTTCCGTCCTATGACCGCTCGCGACGACTCAACACGCGGGCCGCGCTCGTTGGCTGCGTAGCCATCCCGCGCCACCTAGATATTCCGGGGCAACATTTATGGATTCCTCATGTCCCAAGTACCAGATCCTGTTGAGACGTTTAATACTAGTCTAACAATCGATATTCTCCGAATTTCGCGGCTATGAGACAACTCACATCATTCCCAACCATCGACGTCCTAGTAATAGGCGGAGGAAATGCGGGCTTCTCCGCAGCAACAGCGGCCGCAGAAGCAGGAGCACGCCGCGTCGTTCTCATCGAAAAGGCACCTGAAGAATGGGCCGGAGGTAACAGCTACTTCACAGCAGGCGCCTTCCGCACCGTGCACAGCGGTACCAGCGACCTCCTACCCATCGTCAACAACGTCGATACCGAAACAGCAAAACTCATAGACATGGAACCATACACCAAAGATGATTTCCAGAAAGACATGGATCGAGTATGTCTAGGTCGTTCAGATCCAGCCCTAAGCAAAGCGCTCATCTCAGAATCCAACGAAGCCGTAAAATGGCTTGCAAGCAACGGCATCAGATACCAACTCTCCTTCAACCGCCAAGCCTACAAAGTAAACGGCCGCTACAAGTTCTGGGGCGGCATGGCCCTCAAGACGCAGGACGGCGGAAAAGGCCTCATGCTAGACCACCAAGCTTGCGCCCGCAGACACGGAATCGAAGTGTACTACTCCACGCCTGCCAAACGCCTTGTATCCTCTCCCTCCGGCGCTATCACCGGCGTTGTTGTAGACCACAAAGGCATCTCCACCCACATCCCCACCAAAGCCGTCATCCTCGCCGCGGGAGGCTTCGAAGCAAACCCACGCATGCGCGCCCAATACCTGGGTCCATCCTGGGATCTCGCCCGCGTCCGCGGCACGCCCTTCAACACCGGCGAAGTCCTCGAGTATGCTATCCGCGACGTGGATGCGAAGCAAGCCGGGAACTGGTCTGGGTGCCATTCTACCTGCTGGGATGCCAATGCACCAGCTAACAGCGGCGACCGGCTTATCTCGAACGAATTTACTAAGTCGGGGTATCCACTCGGCTTGATGGTTAACACGGAGGGAAAAAGGTTTGTAGACGAGGGTATCGATATGCGGAATTACACGTACGCGAAGTTTGGGCGGGCGATACATGGGCAGCCTGATAGGGTGGCGTGGCAGGTTTGGGATCAGAGGGTTTTGGGGTGGTTGAGGGAGGAAGAGTATAGGGATGAGAGGGTGGAGAAGGTTTGGGGGAAGACTGTTGAGGAGTTGGCGGGGAAGTTGGCGAGGGAAGGGGGGTTGAATAAGCCGGAGAGGTTTGTGGAGACGGTGAAGGAGTATAATGAGGCGGTTTATGCGGCGATGGCTGAAAATCCGAAGAGGAAGTGGGATCCGGCGGTGAAGGATGGGCTTACTACGCAGTCATCGAAGAAGAAGCTGGAACTGACGAAGTCGAATTGGGCGTTGCCGCTTGATAAGGGCCCGTTTATGGCTGTCAAAGTATGCTGCGGCGTTACTTTCACGTTCGGGGGCTTGGCTGTCAACCCGGAAACTACAGCTGTTGTATCGAACTCTGGAAAAGAGGTTACGGGGCTGTTTTGTGTTGGCGAGATGTTGGGTGGTTTGTTCTATGGCAATTATCCTGGAGGAAGCGGCTTGACTTCCGGGGCGGTCTTTGGGAGGAGAGCAGGAACGGCAGCGGCGAGATTAGCTGCTATTGGGGATACTTCCATGTCTTCGAAGCGGCCGGCGATTCTGTCACTTTTATAACAGGAAATGAGAAGTACGATTGTGATTGGGATGCTCAGACTGAATGCCAATATAACATTTCTATTGGCTACACCTCATACAAGAAAAAAACTGAACAGGTCTGCAGACTACATTAACCTAAAACCTTGAGAAGTAGGTGACCTAACGTTAATGTAGGCTCTAGGCTGTTCAATCTTTTCCTCATTCTATATCTCACGACTGATCTCGGCGCGGACCAGGAGGGCCAAGGTGTCGTACAACAGTCCGCCACCTAGATGTATCGCGATTTCTCAGGGCACTTGTCGAAATCGCCACCGCAGTCCTTGCACTAATCGCATCAAGTCAGCATCGTTCACTCCACCTCAACTACAGCAAGATGCGAAGACTTACCTCATGGCCCTGGTAGCGGTATACATGGCACACATGCTCAACGCAGGTCTGTTTGCAACCGGTCTGTCCTTCAGTATGGCCATTCTACCACCTCGTCAGTCTGGATTGCACAAAGACTGCCACCATGACCTTTCGCTTACCTTGAGGCAGAATTCGTAGCGCTCCAAGCAGAAGTCGCAGTTGGCGTCGCGTGTGACGAGCGTGGTGCCTTCGTCTGCGGTGGATGTGGCGGAGACGATGGTGGCGGCGAGCGCGAGGAGGATAGCGAAGGTCTTCATGTTGCTCCGATATCTGGATGTATACCGAGGGCTTCCGAGTGGTCCA